AAGCCTGGTCTCTTCTTCCAACCAGTATTTTAAAAGATAATGATGGTGACGGTGAACCTGTGAGGCAAGACAGGTGAGTATTTGGAGCAGACCAGGTGTGAGCTGGCAAAGCCACGAAAGGACTCAGGAACTGACATGGGTGAGAGGTGCCAGCCAAAAGACACAGCGACTGCCAACAGATGCTACCTGCATGGATTTTAGAAGGCGCACAACAGACTAACTGATCAGCAATGCTGCAGTTTCTATTCCGTGGCTTGCAATAGAGGGGGGAAAACACTTAGGGGTACGTATTGTTTAAAATATAATATTTTCTTAATGAAATTCATATCTTCTTATAAATAAAATACTATGCAAATACTAAGTAATGAATCTTTTTTGTGGATTTTTTTTCCTCCTAAATTTTTTTTTAAAGATTTATTTATTTATTTAGACATACAGAACTGGGGTACAAGCCAGAGTTGCAGGGGCAGTGAGAGACTTCACCAGAGATAGAGTTGGGACAGAACAAGCAGATCAATGAAGTACACTACTGAGGGGAGCAGGGGGTGAGACAAGATACGTCTACTGTGTCATGTGAATCACCTCTGGGGCTGGGGATCAAACTCGCACTGAGGCCGCTGTGGCCAGCTTGCAGTGCTGTGTCCTAACCCGCTGCACCACCGGGGAGGGCCCTCTCCTTCTAAATTTAAGTCATTCTCTGACTTTACTTACCCACAAGGCCGATATGTGAACACAATGTAACTCTCTTCATCACTCCTCTCAATGAAAGTCACACATGTGTGCTTTTCCCAGTGTCTCATGGCCTGCTTGAACATGGCTCGTTGGCTGCCTGGAAGAAGGTCAGGACATTAATGAAGCAGTGCCTGCCTCTGCAGCCCCAGTGTCTGGGTGGTTCTGTCAGCCCTCTGCCAGAGAATACTAGCTGAGCGCACCACTCGTGAGCCATTGTTAAGAATGGACACTGACCTTATCATCAGAGGTTCAAGCTCATTATCTCTACAAACATGTGTGCCCAAGGCTCTATAAACAGGACATACATTCTTCCAGATTTAAATCAACTTCCAGATTTAATGGAAACATTTGAAACTCAGTTTAAAAACCAAAGGAGTACTTTAAACTCTTAAGAGTTCATGACTATATTTTATATTTCCGTTCCAAAGATGTTCTAAACTAACAACTGAGGTAAGAGGAGTATTTTTCAAGTTTCATACTATATTTTATATATTAATATTGTACAGGAATGGACACTTAATCTGTGTGGTCATTTTTCTACTTCTTGAATAAAAAAGACACTCTGGGACTATCTTACCAGTGAAGTTGCCTCCTATAACATAAGGAATAACACCTCCAGGCCATATTCGTTCAGTTCTTGATGTAGCAGCTCTGGGAACTCGATTTTTCTCATTTTGCCCTGAGAACTTGAGAGGTACTTCCCCCTTCACTGTGCTGTTTTGCTCCAAGCCTGCAGTGACATTTAAAAGATGCTGTGAAACAGAAGTTCTTGGTCAGAGTATCATTTACCTCTTAGCAAATGCAAGTTAAAATGTCTTATTTACATATTTGTATAAATATGCCTGAAGTCAAAGTCCATTAAAGAAAAACTTCACTCATACATACTTGGAAAGGTATTGACATATTTCAATATTTCATGTCAACCTACTATTTGACATACTATTTAATGTAGTTTATTCTGATAATAGTATCAAAATACTATTTAATATTCTCTGAGATTTTGATAAATGTGCATATTATAGCCAACAAAAGACAGTTTTCTATATTTTAATGTATTAAATCACTAGCAGTTCACCATTAGATGATAAAATAAACCCACTAGATGATAAAATAACCATTGCTTTAAAAGTTGCAGGGTCTCGACACCCATCTTACTCCTAAATCCCTAATCTTTTACATCAGAATGGCTGTGACTGTAGTCCACCGAAATTACATATTATAGTGGCAACAGTGAAACAATGTTAGCACGGATTTTTACCCAGCCACGCAGCAAGATGTAAAGATCAGCGTACAATATAAACAAGTCAAAATAAAATGCAGCAGTTTCTAAGTCTGTTCCAGCTTGTCTTGGTCACCGTTCATATTTTTGTTAGCTTTATGGATGCAAATATGCTCCCTCTAGTACATAAGTCAGTCCCCTAAATATCAAATATATAATCCCAACGTGTATCATAACCTGTGTATCTTGTCCACACCCTATAACAAACTATATTTGTTTGTGAAAAGTATTCCTTGCAAGTGTGTATTTTCAAATATTTATAATCATCCATACATTTAAGGAGTGTTTGGACATAAGCTTTGAACAGAAACTTGTTTTAAAAACTCTGAGTCTATGAAGCAAGTAACACACTCAATACTATAAATATTAAGTAATTGTGAACCTAAACAGCAGTTTTTCCAATCTTTTCCTATTTATATTTTTGGAATGCTCAGAAAAACTCTTAATTATTGAACCAGTTTTTTGCTTTACTTTAAGTGCACCTTATTCAAAACTAGCACTTTTTTTTCTGTGATTTGAAATTGCTATAGTTTCATGCTTGATAAAAGCACCTTTGTGTGATACTCAACTTACTGGGAATAATTATCAAATATAAAATAAACACCTTATATACATTTTTAATAAGGAGAAACTAAAGTGAAAGAACTATATCAGTTGTCTCAATGAGTTCTGTAAAGGCTTAAATCAGTTATCAACTAACAAAGTAAGAGTGAATAAAGGACTCTTTCTCAACATCTATCTTTACAAAGTTTTCATCACAATGGCAAACTGAATTGCTAGCAGTATAATATTTACTATACATCAAGTCAAGTGTCTGTAACTGTAAACAGATATACCAGAGCCAATTCTTCTTATCCTGTCTATCAGTTGGTAGAGGGCCCCTCGTTTCTTTGACATACCATGGTCTCCAAATCCACCTTAAAGGATAAAAGAAAATAGGTTACACCCAGTGTAGTATTTTAAAGTTCTTGTACACAATCAACAGTAATAGGCTACATTGATTTCTCTTTAGACATTTCCTTTGATGTGGTCTAGAAGTGAAGAGTTATAAATCTTAGCCGATGGCAAAAATGCTACAATGACAAATTTTGGTAACTAAAAATAAGAGTGTGGGGGAGATCCAGAGAGCAATCTAAATGACTTTATTTGGACATCACAGCAATTGAGTCAACTATTGATAATTTGAAACATTTTTCTCGCTGTGACCTTGACATCACATAAGGTTACGTAGGATGACAGCAACGGTTCCGGGACTGCATTCCAGCTATTTCTCCAATGCAAACTGAAGCCAAATCAACACATTGAAATAAAAACATTAGAAGAGCAAGTGTATAGTGTGAGATTTGCTCCAAAGTTTTGATCATTTTTTAAATGTTTCTGAAAGTGTGTATATAGAAATGTTTCTGAAAGTGTGTATATATATGTACACATGTCATATAAATATTTGGATTAGTTTCTATAAATAACAAAAAATAAGTAACACCTACTTAGAAATAAAATGACATGATAAGGATCAAAAAAAAAGGTTTTCATCTGCACATATATTAAAATTTATAGCTTAAAATATAGAGGAGTGTGTCTGGGTAAATATCTCTTCCTGCAATTTTATCAACAAAAATTAATAAAGCAGGATCCTCTCATATGTCAGAAAGCAGAGCACTGGTTAAAAATCCAGGGGCTGATTCTCATTCCAAATCATGCTCTCCCAATTTTATCTTCTACTATCCTTTCTCCTTGAATTTTTCATAGACAAATAGTAAAGCAGTATTATTGAGAAAAGAATCAGTGTTAACTACTGATGACATCAGTCAAAGTAGATGAATCTATACTAAAAGGTGTGTTTCCAGTTCATGAATCTTATTTTAGGAAAGGAATTAAAACAGACCAGAATTCTGTAATGATATTCTCAGACTTTGAAATATTTCCTTCCAGTATCTCTCTTTTGCCCTTGGAAATAAATGACACCTAATTACCTTAATTGAGACTCGTACAAAGCAAAACAATACTAAAAGTGCTATCATCGAAGCCTTTTATAGAAAAAAGATCAATAAAGTCCTTATAAGGCAAAGAAGTTAGAATACTTCTTCACTGACTAATAATCCACTTAATTATTTGCATTACACAGTCACATTTTTGTTGTAGCCCTTGAGAAAAATTTTCAAAATTTTTTCATTGAACATTTTAGAAAGATGAGGTAATACTTAAAGATATTCATTCCTAAGCAGTTACAAGAAACATTTTTAAAGATGGCATCTATGGGTTTGAAAATTTATGTATCAATGATATTTCATATTGATGGGTCTGGAACATAAATAGCTCTAGAAAAGGTTTATTCTGAAAAAAGAAATTATGAACAGCATTAAGGTAATTATAAGGACAAAAATTATCATAAAATTAAAAAGAACAATTTTCTGGAATATTGTATAGCAAATGAAATAAAATCATGTAGGTAGTTCATTAAGTAAAAAAAAAAGAGAGATGTATAAAATGAGTGGTTATTTCTCACAAACTCTAAAATAAAAATAAAAATATATGAAGAGGGGAGAGCCTATATTTCTAAATCATATACAGCATTGTAAACCAATGTTACCTGAATAAAAATAATATTAAAATAATAAGTGTGTTTCGAGTGAGAAAAAAAGCATAAAGCTGAATAAAATTTATGGGAAAGGCTAAGCATTTTAAAGTAAATGAATGAGAAATATAGTCAATTTGGTACAAACTAATAAGAGCAGATACTAAGAAAAATAAAATATAGGATATTTTTACCTTGTTTAAAATTAAATTGAATGTAAACTGTAGGTTACATTCAAAGATAGGGAACTTTCACACACATATTTTGAATTAATGTTTCTTTATGGCTGACAGTATTATCTGTTCAATACTATTTATTTAAAATAACAGTATTTTCATTTTTTCTCAGAATTGAATTTTAGTCCAGACACAGTCACTTCCTTCCTGGCTATATGGCAGAACAGAGAACTATAAAACTTTATAATTTTATCTCATTATTATATCACAATTTAGTAGCTATCCTCATGGCTTTGCTATGAGGATTCAGAGTCATTTCCTGCACTTAAACAAGCTATTTGTATCTAGGAAATTAATGTTGATCAAAAGGACATGAAAAGTCAAGCAAATATTTTCTGCAAAATGAATGCAAACTGAGTCAAATCATCATCCATACCTGTGGTATGTCCAAGTTTTCCAAAGGGATTCTGTGTAAGGTCAATTGTCCTATCAATTTGAAAGATATTTAAGTCTTCATCATCTAAGGCAATATCACCCCAAAACACAGCTAAAAAGAGAAAATTTCAATTACAATGTTAAATATTTGACTGAAACAAATCAACAAAAGAGGTAATTAGAAACATATTTCCAAAAATATCAAAAAGTGACCCATATAGAGACAAGAGAACGTTGTGCTGTTATAACAATATATCACCATGTGTATACATTTATAATGTACCTTCTCTAAACATGACAGTCTAGATCAAAAAGGAAAATATTATACAGAACCATCAACAGTATTAAGTCAACATTTATTTAGGAAAAGACTAGGTAGCAAGAGTTTGATCTTTTAATGACAAATAAAATAGTGTTCATGTATTTGGATCTTCAAAATCATTACTTTAAACCTGGAAACACTCTGATTCTTTAAACTATTGTGAAAATTAGTTATTTATAATAATATGTGAATTGGTTCTTTATGGAGAAATTTCATTAGGAAAAAAGAAAAAAAAATACTTCCCTTCAGAGTCTAAAATTAGAATAACAAGTCCTTTATTTCTATCAAAGTTTAAAGTATAATGACTTTAAGAAATACAGCCAATTTAGAAAGAGAATAAATTCATTATGAAACAGTAAAGCACTGATAAATGCCTTAGAAAATCTGGGATACTGCTGTCCTGACACAGGTTTACAAATTTTCTTTTTAAATTTTGCTTTTTCAGATTTTTCTTCTGAAAGACCAAAAAGAAAAAGGAGGCAAATACATTAAAAAGTTAAGAAGTGACAAAAACCCATCCACTTCAAACCACTATCTTTCACCAGATTCAAGTTGTTGTATTTATGAATCTTAGCTTTATAGAACTAGTTAATACAATTAATTTATAAGATTTAAAGTTCGATTCTGAAAACTGTACGATGTCTAAGCCTAGAGGAGATGTTTACCACATACAATTATTTATCCAATTTAGTCTCCTCATACAAAACTAACCTAAGAAACTGTAAATCTAAAAAAGGAGTAAAATAGAAATTAGTTCAAGGTCAGCTATCAGTTTAACATGTGAAAAACCCTTCTTCAGAATAAGAATCCTCATCACCACCCCTGTTTTACCACCAAGGAACTACAGTCTGTAGAAGTAAAGAGATGTATACTATCTTTTACTATATTGGCCATGGAAATAAAAGATTACTCTGTCAGCAACTTTTACATAGGCAATAAATATTTTTGACTGTAGACAACATAGTGTACATTACATCCCCATGACTATTTCTCACTGAAGTTTACCTCTTGGCCTCCTTCACCCATTTCACCCACCGACCCCCACCTTGCAGCTCTCTTTCCCTTGATAAACAGCAATCTGTTCTCTGTATCTATGAGATGAGTTTTGTTCCTTCATTTGTTTTGTTATTTTCATTTTGGAATGCTAAATGTAAGTGGAATCATATGGTATCTGACTTAGCATAATAACTTCAAGTGTATTCATGTTGTCACAAGTGGCAAGATAACACTGTTTTTATGATTATATTATAATGTGTGTGTGTGTGTGATCACGATCCCATCTTTTTTATCCATTCATCTGTAAGTGGATATTTGATTAGTTTCCATATCGGGGTTATTGTAAATAAAGCTGCAATGAACACAGGGATGCGGATATCTTTTGAGTTGTTTTCTTCTGATGAATACCCATAAGTGAAAATGCTAGATCATATGGTAGTTACATATTTAGCTTCCTTAAGAACTGCCTCACTGTTTTTCATAGCACTATTTTACATTCCTATCAACATTGCACCAGGGTTCCAATTTCTTCACGTACTTGCCAACAACACTACTAGCTATTCTCTTTACTTGACACATTGAGATGGCTATTTCTGCAGCACACACAACTATCAAATTATTGTGTTCTATACCTGGAACAAATGCAACAGTATATTTCAATTACACCTCAATGACAAATAAATTAAAAAATATAAATGGACAAATACGTCAATTAAAAGGCACACTTTGAAAGAATGTATTCACTTCCTTCCTCCCAAAAGGCCTATGGTTCTTGAAATTTTGTCTCCAAGAGACTCACTCTAGACACAGGGCACAAATAGTCATAAATTGATGGAATGGGGGAAAAAGTCCAAGCAAATAATAGCCAAAAATGAGTTGTAGTGACTATGATGTATATATAATTCTTAGGCGCCTTTGATGTTAGAGCAACAATATAGTACATTGTACTACTTGATATATCACTAAATAAAATTGAAAATTTTAGACCATAAAAATATCAACTTTAATATCAATTGTCATACGTAATAAGATTTTACTCAATTTAAGTGTATAACTCAATGTATGTAGACAAATGTATACACTTGTGACCACAATGATAATCACAATATACTGTTTTCTAGCACCCCCCAAAAGCTTCCTGTGGTGACCCTTTGCAACTGATACTCTCCAGCCCCTGGCCTGCTTTCTGTTACTACCCTTTTTTCTTTTCTAGCATTTCATATAAATGAAATCATACAAAAAAAGACAGAAGAAAAAAATCTGTAGAATAGTTATATCACTGACTAAGAGGTTGATCTTGCTGTCTGAAATTGAATCCAGATTGGAATCAGCTTCACATGCAGACATGTGTAGCAGAAACTGCTGCTATTCCACTTTCCCAAGACTCAGAATCCCAAGAAACAGACGCTGCCTACATAAAAATATTGTCTTTTATATAAAAGACTTGTGGTTTTCCTAAAAGTAAATTATACACTTTCTCCAAAATGTCATTCTACGTTCAGGTACATGCCAGTTTGTGAGTTACTTAAACCTTCCAGTGTTTGTATTAATTCTGCAAACAGTCGAAGACACTAGTGGCAGCTTTCTGTCAAGCTCTACTCACCAGTGTGGGGACAGCTGGAGACAAAAAGAGTTTCTCTCTCACTGAACTGCACAGGATTTACCAGGCATGGAGAGAAGCCTAAGATCCTACACTCATTCTTTATTTTTTTAAAACAAATTTCCATTATTATAAATAATTATCACTGTCACAGCTATAATTATTTTTTTTCTGCAAGAATAAACTTTCACTACTCCCTAATGCCTTCAGTTGTCTTGAAAAATGAGGCATGAGAAAAACAAAACAATGTGACACTGCTACATTTATATAATAAAAGCAATATGAGTAAAATAAAACTCAAATGTGTTTTAGATTTTTATTTTCTTATTATGACTTTGCACATGCAGTTGGATTCATGTCTTGATAGATTATCTCAAACACAGATGAGTAGTCCAAGGATATAACACTTCAAGGGAGCAAAAACATTACTTCAGGGCAAGAAAAAAGCAAGGCGTTTGATGATTCTTTAAAGGAGACAAACTGCTTTGGACTACATAAGCCTATTTTATAGTTATTGTTTTTTTTCCCCCTGAACTAATAGTTTCAGAATCCACTCAGCAGTTCTGTGCACACCATGAACTGCTTTAGAAGAAAACCAAGTATTTCTTTGAATGCAGCCAATAGAGAGTGATGGAGCCAATGTATTTATGTGCCAACTGGAGGCATGGAAGGCCATGTGCATCACGGAAACTTCATATTATCAACCATCAGAAAAAAAAATAGACATCCAAGACTCTTCAACAGATCATGTAGGATAAGATGTACTTTCTTAATTGCTTACATTTGCAGGTTTTCTTAATGCATCTTCTAGTTTAAGGGTTCTACTTCTTCATCCTAAAACATTTTCTTTATATTTTAGTCTAGTAAGCTGTACCATGGCAATTTATATTATTATGGTTTAGAATTTGCATTATGAGGGCCTCCCTGAAGGCACAATGGATCAAGTCAAAGCACTGCAAAGCTACACGCAGCCACTGCAGCACAAGTTCAATCCCCAGCCAGGGAGCTGACCCTCATGGCACAACAGACCTCTCCCATCATACCCGCTGCTCCCCTCAGCAACTATTTCAGTCAATCTGCTTGTTCTGCTCCCCACTCTTCTCTAGTGAATCCTCTCACCCCCCTGTACCTGTGGCCTGCATGCACCCTGCTCTTGTATGTGTAAATTAGTCTTTTTAAAAAAGAATTTTCATTATGATTTAGCACATATGTGCTTTTAGGCTTGAGATATTTGTAATTCTCAAGTCCAGTTTGGAACTTTCTGTATGGCATTTTCTATTTACTTTGAATTTAAAAATTAGAACTAGTTTAGAAGAATGAATTATCACTAATTATCCCTATTACTGCTATAATTTGAGGTTCATGATATCAGAACTGGAGATGAATGACAATACGAAGGAGATGCTTAAATACAACTAGAGTATTTATTACCTGGTTTGAATTATGTTTGGATCCTATGGACAACCGGGGATGGAGCTAACTAAACAATAGGCCAAAATAGAAAGTCAAAAAGAACAATTTTTAAGCTATATGGAAAACCATAAGTTTTTGTTTTTCTCCTGAAAGTTATTTGTAGTCATAGTACTACAAAATAATAATAAAGTTGGAGACCAGTGAGGAGTGTTTTTGTTGTAGTAGTCAGAGTAAACATACTTTATCAAATAACGTATGATAAAAATAAGCAGATCATGATTGAAGTGCTGTATACCCCAAATCTTGTACCATTTCTGGATTCTTTGATAATCTCTGGCCTTTCAATACTGAAAAGAATTGGTCCTGGGAACAACTTCAAGGAAACTCAAGTCTGTGATTTCCTAAATGCCATAGGCAAAATAATAAAAACAACAATAATAATATGTATGAGTTTGTAACAATAGTCACTACATGTCCTGCAGTTAAAAAGATCCACAAATGATTGTCAAAAGTTATCACCAAAAGATTCACTACTTTTGCCTAATCCAAAGCTTTTCGGTCCATTAAGAAGAAAGTAGTTACAAACTAAAGCCCTCAATAAAATGAATGTGTTTGCTTGTATTAAAGCTAATGTATCTGATAGTTGGTTACCACTTGAAAGTATACTGTAATCAACAAAAGGGGGAGACCGTTGGCCATCACCTACAAAAAGTCCTCCCAGAATGCACCTTTCCCAACTAACCTAGTTAGGTGTCTCATCTGCTTCCAGAATCTGCCTGTG